ACAAGTGTTTTCTTTATGATCCAAATCTTATCATCAATCAGACCCAAACCAAGAACTAGAAGCCAAGTTGTATCAAAATTAACTCCACTTGGACTGCTTCATGTTCTGGAATAAGGGTTTCCACTATCTTTTCCAGTGTACCCACCTTGTCGGTCCAATGACCATAATAAGGGAGATAAATCATGGTGTCTTAGGACATGGTAAGATGAACACTGAGACCTTGTTATTGGAACTTTACACCTTTTTTGCTGAGGCAATTTCAAAGGGTATTTGACTACTCGATGTGGATTCTAACAAACTATCAAAAAGGGCTCTTTAACAACTCAAAAGACACAAAAATTCATTGCCAATCTAGAAAGGTAACGACTACCTATACAAAAATGAATAAAGTACGCATAAATATATATTATCCTTAGACAATGCAAGAAATCTTGTCGCTAATGATCTAACAATGCAAGAAATCTTGTCGCTAATGATCAAATTTTCGTCGCTATAGTTCTATTGCAACGACGATCGTTGTTATAGACCCCATCACTATTGGCTCATAGCTATAGCTCTTTATAATGTCCACAAGTCATCGTAGTAGGTAAGAAATAAAAAAATTTCTAATTTTTTACCTACTGCGACGACTTGTCGTGGCTATAGGTCAAAAATAGTAAAAATTAATTATATACCTATACTATGATCACATGCATTGCTGCAGGCTAAAAATAAAAAAAAATAATGATATACCTGTTGTGACGACAAGGCAACACGTTTATTGTTCTGTTTATTTCTTACCTACTGCGACGACTTGTCGTGGCTATAGGTCAAAAATAGTAAAAATTAATTATATACCTACTATGATCACATGCATTGCTGCAGGCTAAAAAAAAAATTAATGATACACCTGCTGTGACACAGGGCAACACGTTTATTGTTCTGAATTGATAAATTCTAAAGATTCATCTTCATCAAACAAAATAATATGTATACGATCAAATGAACCGATAAAGACCAAAAACCATATTGAATTTCAAATTGCTAAGAACTTTTTCCCTTACACCGTGAATACACTAAATCAAATAAATTGTATTTAAAATATATATATATATATATATATATATATATATATATATATGTAAACTATTTATTCCTAAAAGTTTGTATGGTACCATCTTCACCTTTCGTCTACTTCCTCAAACTCTCAACCATGTAGTCTGCGTACAGGTTCCTTGAGGTCAAATCCAATCCCCTCAACCCTGCTAAATTTCCTTTAATAGCAAATGAAAACTTACAAAAAATAAAGTAAAACTTCCGGAATGCAAAAAAAAATGGCTCATCAGATTTACATACATCCTACTCTACATATTGAATCAAAAGAATTTCAAATTGAAGAATTTCCAATTGAAAAAAGAAAGTTCCATTTAACATAGATACATTCTTACAAAAATTCATGCTCCTAAAACCTTAAACAAGAAAAAAGTTATCCATGATGACTTGCTTTTCTTGAAATCAACAAGGATCCCCCAAGTCTTGGGCAATACATTTTCATGAAACGATGTTCTATAGGCACTTCCTAACAAAACATGTAACACTCATAAATTCTTCCATATTTTTTCTCTACTTATTAAGTTCTGAAAATTAAACTAAAATCCTAGTGTTAAATTGAAAATCACTAATTTAGTTCCTTTGCTGACCATCTTGTCAAATTAAGGGGGTTACACTACAAAATTCACTTTTGGAATAATGCATGTAGGCGTTGGGCGAGTTTGGAGCTAGTGAGGCCGTAGGGTGGTCGTAGTAGCCACTGGAGTGGCTGGCTACTGAACGCCTTGTTGAGGATCAAAACAGTAAGGAAAGCGAGTTGGATGCGGGTTAGGCCACATGAAAGTCGCTCGCGTAGGCTGATTAAAGAATATTGAGCCACCAACCTACACCCCTTCACTTTTATCATCTTCTTCCCTTTTTTTCCCTCTCATCTCTCCCTTCTTTGGACGATTTTGGTAAGCCTTGGAGAGTATTCTTGAAGATCTAGCCTAAGGATTTCAAGGTATTTTGGTTGAGACCTTCTTGGTTGAGACCTTCATGTTCTCAAAGAGGTAAGATTTTGATGTGTTATGCTATATTTAGGGTTTTGGCTATGATCTGATTTTGGGTTGCTCCTGTTGTATTTTAGGTTTGTTAGTGACATAAATAAAGGATTTTAAGATGGTTGTTTATGGATCTGAAGCTTTCACCAAAGAAAGCTCAAGATTGGGCTAAAACCTAGATTTAGCCAAAATATAGCAAGGTGAATTCAAGTTGTTTTGTGAAAACTATGTACATGCCAAAATGTGTTTATTGAAATATTCTATTTGATACTTATCAAATGTCTTAAGTATTTGACAAAGTTTGTATATTTGGTAAATTAGAGTTAATAAATCTTGTAAATGCCTATATTTAGGTTTTTGGACATTTTAATTAATAAATCTCATGAATGTGTTATTTAGATGCAACAATGGAAATTATTAGATATAAATGTATTTTGGTGTATTTGATTTTATAAGTCGTTTGGAAATGCATATTATTGTGTTATGAGGTATTATGGAAATACAAGAGTATGAATTCATTTGAAAAATGGTTTGTCTCAACAAATGATGGGTTTTTAGTTAATCATTTGACTGAAGGCCTAGAAAAGTTGATGTCAATGGTTACTTAACTACAAGTGATGCTCATATAACATTGGCTTGCAACTTACTTATGTGTTCCGTCACAATAAATGATAAATCGGGTCTCTCCTGTCATCTTATGATGCTGACACCCTTCTAAGGGTAAAGATGATTTAATTATACAAAAAGACTTGTTTAAAACTATGTTTTCCGTGTTAATGTTTTATAGCTTTATTCTTGGTCGTGTGAGTATTGGGTTTTGGTTGCATATAAATGAGTGTTTTGATTAATGAGTTTTCATCAGGAAAATGATGGGTTTTGAAAAGATGTCGCTTTTATTTGTAATACATTTCATTTGCGAAATTATGATTTGAATCAACAGTCTCTCAATTTTACCTTTTTATAATTATGAGAAACTGCTTGAACTCACTAGGCGTTTTGCCTAATCCTTTTTTTGTTGGCATGTGCATAAGTTCTTTGTTGGGGTTGGTACTAGAGACAGTGTGAAGAGTTTAGTGCTAGTTAGATGCATGAAAAAGATCTAGATAATCGATGACCTCATCCACATTTGGAGATAGTGATTGTTATTGAGTTTTAGTAACACCCGATTTGACTTAGTCTTGATGCAAGGCTTGGTTTGTCTCTTATAGATGTTAAATGTAGATTCTCTATTCGAGTTAATTCAAGTATTTGTTTAAAGTAAGGGATTTATCCTATGTTTGATGTATAATCAGAAATTTTAAATTTGTCGCTCTTCCCAGATTTGAGGGTGTTACAAGTTGGTATCAGAGCATAAGTTTGAGAGATTTAAGCATTGATTTAGGATGTATAGACTCAAACTAGAGTTTTTATAAGTGACTGCAAGTGAGAATGTGTGATTAGACACTTTAAGATATGATATTTTGAGGTCATTAGAGACACTAGCATTAAGAATGACGACGATGGTAGCAAGGATCCTCATGTATGAGACATTTATAGTTGCACTTGGCTAGTTCTACGATGAATTTACAATTACATCTGTGTGCCTGAATCGCTTTGTTGTGATGATCGATGACGGTAGTGAGTGCTTTCTTCGGTTATAGAGCAGTAATATGTTGATGTTTTATAGTTATGTCACATTATGTGACAGTTAAGTATGGTGATTACATTAAGCCTACCATTGTGGATCAATTTTATTGGTTAAGTTTGAACCATAGCCTTGTTGAAGCATCATTAATTTGGGAAAAAGTTTGTAAAGTTATGCACAATATTTACTTTTGAAATAAATTGCACGAATTATTCCATGTTTAACAAAGCTTTGTACCTGTCTGTCAGGTTAATAATTTTGGGGAATGTTTTGGCACACACACGAGAGTGTAACCATACTTTGAAAATTATTTACGTGTTTTAGTTGCATAAGATTTGTATGTAAGTTTTATTGACAGTTCTCTTCATACTACTCTATACTAGTTTCGATATTGAAACCCACGGGAATTGTTTCATTTATTACCCAAGAGACATACAAATATTTTGTTACAAGTTTTGAGAAATTATTTGGTGCATGTGAGATTTTGGTTGAGTTCTAAATTGCAAGGAACCAGTTTGGTTTATACTGTTATGTGCAAAGTTTTGTTGAAACATTCATTCCATGTCGTTTTTTTTTACTAAATGAGAACTTTTGGAAAAAACCGGTTGTTGTACAACTTTTGCTCTGGGTTTTGCATAATCATGTAGTATTGCACATTTTGTGTTTATAATTTACACATATGAGATATTTCAGGTCGAGTTTAATATGCTTAAAATTACTGTATCTCCTTACAAGTTTTATTGGAATTTTGTTTTATAATGTTTTATAACCTAATTAAAAGTCAAAACTTCTTGTATCTCTATGGTATTTACACCCTACAAACTTTGTAGCGATGGGTCGTCGTTGGGCTTTCCTGCTTTTAAAAGAAACTTATCTATAAAGACGATATGTCGTCGTTGTACAATTCGTTGTTGTAGGTGCATTTTCTTGTAGTGAAAATAGGTTTTATCTATATGTTTAATATATACTTATTTTCTTACAGAAGTTAGATCGAAGGATCCAAATTATTTTTATAGTTGTTTTATTTTACTCGAACTTGTTCAATGGATTCGAAAACGACCATCATAATGAAGTACAAATGTGATTGGAATTACCATCATGATCATACCAAACAGCATTGCAATTTAAGATAAACGTAGAAGAGACATGTCATAATTAAATAACGTTACATCAATTACCAAAAGTTATTACACAAATAACCCCATAATTAATTAAACATACACAAATACAAATCACAAACCCATTGATCTTTTGTGATAAAAATAAAGTTAATCATGATTATTAATTAGATTAGTTAATGATAATTAGACATGCCTCCATGGCCTTTCTGCAAGGCTAACACATTCATCAAACCTAAAGCAGTCAACAAGATGGTCAATGCTCATTCCAGCAGCCTGCATGAAGGAATAAACGATAACTGGACCCACCAATCGGAATCCATGCTTCAGTAAGTCCTTGCTGATGGCTTCTGCTTTTGGTGTCCTCATTGGCACATTTCTTGGGTGTTTGTATCTATTTATGGTTGGTTTATAGTTCATGCATCCCCACATGTATCCACTGAATGATCCATGTTGTTTTGCAATCTGTCAAACAATAATATACGAGTAAATTGCCACTGTGGTGTTTTCCGTTAGAAAAATTGCTTAACTCATGCGTTGCTTTTTCCGTCCATATGGTTTACAATTCATTGTTTTTTGTCTCTGTCATATTATGGTTCGTTCTTCATACTTAACGGTTAACCACTAAAAGGAGTTGAGCTCACAGATGAAAACACCAATAATATGCAAACCACTTGGGTGTAAGGAGTCCATTTTTTTTTTATTAACCTGGATATCCCATTTTTTTTTATTAACCTGGATATCCAATCTGCTATGCGAGCCGACTAATCCCAGGGCGACCACCTGCTTTGCAGATAGCCCGGAGTCACCGCATTTGAATCTCCATGGCCACAAGGGGATTTTTATTTCTCCTTGGATTTGAACCTAGGACATCCTGGTACTTTTGACCTTTGGAGTCAAGCTCAAACCAATCAGACACCACCCTTGTAACTTTAGATATAAGAAAATAAACGTACAAATCATGGATTCGTAGAGGCCTTTGTCCCCTACCCATGCCTTCAATCTACCCCTGTTTATATGTATCGAAGAAAATGAGATCATATATATGGACGATCGATCATAATTGACATGAGATTAGATGAACAAGATTTGTTTCAAGGGCGGATCCACTTATAAGAGAGTGGTGTTTTACGACTTTTAATGGTGCCATCGTAGTTATTCGTTTTGTGGTATCATTGGACTTCGTCTAGATAGATAATTGAGAGACTTTATAATAGCATAGTGAAACTCATATTTAAGTTTTAATATTTAAAAATAATGAAACACAACATAATTATAAATCGTCGAAATAACTGGAAAGCCTAAGTTCGTCATTACTTTTAAATCATTACATTTATAAAACCAAAAAGTATACTGTTTTTTCATATATCAACAAATCATTAGCAAAGTACAACAAACCAATAAAATGAAAGAAATACACCATTTTTATAAACAATTATTTTTCAAATCCAAATGACAATTACATGTACTTTTATAATTATGTGATTATGATTGTGACTGTGATTTGAAAAATAAACAGCCACTGGTTTCTTTTATGATTGTCATTTGAATCTGAAATATATCCTTTTATTTTCTTGATTTATTGTACTTTATTCCCGAGCTATACTGATATATCAATTGATCAATAAATGGTATATCCATGTTTAAACTTATAAGTATAAGGATTTATTCCTTCAATAAAATGTTTAGGGACTTGATAACTCAAAATATAAAAGTTCGGTGGCTTTTCTCCGTTGTAACAAGTTCAAAAATTTATCTTCTCAATTTTAGTAAATTTAAGGAGTTTGAAGACTTAATCAAAATATGTTGTGTTTTTTTGTACATTTCCCTTACTAATACACTTGTATTTATTTCAAAGAAAATATTGTGTTTTGAACAGAATCCGAAAAATTCAAAAGTGTATTTTATTAAAAATAACTAAGAATATGAAAAATCAACGATATATACAGTTAGATTTTCAATACATTCGTAAACGTATGTTTTAAATTTATGAAAAGGAAGTGTTTGACGCACCCGATGTGTGTTTTGACCAACCCTAAATATATACTTACGTTGATCTGAACCCATGTAACCCGTTATTTAACCCATACAACTTGTATATTTTATTTTATATTCTTGAATCTTAACTCATAAATAATTATAAAGAATTCAAAACCATATGCTATTAAAAATCATTGAATAACAAATTCAGATAGCTTAACCGGTAGGGTCTTTAATTTGCTCTTCAATGAATCAGCAGTCATGAATCCATTCAGGACCACTGATGTTCTGTCTGAATGTTAACTTGAAAATCCTATAGGATTAAACAAATGGTACATAAATTGATTTAGAAACACATTATTGTTAAGAAAAATCAAGTGTTGTAAACATAAATTTACCTTCAAGATGCATTTGGCATTTTCAACAATGGATCTAACTCGACTTTCAGCCAACGTTATGTCTTTGTTTGTGGCTATATCTATAATCTCCTTCTCTCCCATTTTAGCAACAAATTTTGGTTCAAATCCACCAAAAGCTTCCCTATACAAAGATTAACCATAAATACATAAAAAAAATCCGAATCGTTCATTCGATAAAATCAAGAACCAACAATTAATTACGGTTTTACCAAAAAAGTTCCTTTCGTCTTAGAATTTCGGTCCAATTGTAATCCATTAGCATCCCCGACAACGAAAGCAACTCGAACAATTGGCTGTTAATTTTTACAAGTTTCAAGTTAAGTACGTTAAATGATAGCTTCAAAGTACCCGATAAACTATTAAGCCCTTAGTTCCTAGGGATAAAAAAGATTAGTTTCTATATTTGTCCCTTCTGATATAGGGAAATTAATTAAACTAGACATTTTCGGCTTGTCCTTTCACCTCTTAGTCATTTTTCTCTTAAAATTATCAGAATATCAATACTCGTGGAAGGGTCAAAGTGTAAAAAAACAGTAAGTTTTTAAACCAAGTCCGCAAGTGCGATCAAATCTGTAAAATAGACAAGAGTCCGCAAGTGACACTTCCGTCATTTGCGGAGGTGTTGAGACTATGGTCCCTTCACTTGCAGACCTGGTTCATAAACTTCTTTTTTTATATTGACTTTTTTGTAAATTTTGGACCTGTCATTTGCAAAACTAATGACACTTTTTTAAAATATTGTAAGAAAATTGGCTAAAAGATAAAACCATGATGTAAAAATGACTATTTTAATTCATTTTTATTTGATAAATGTCAAAGAATCATTTGCCACATGTCAACAATTTATTGATATTAACTTTATTTAATTTGTTTTATTCTCTCTTTTGGATAAACTTTTGATTTGTTAGCACATAATTGATTAATAGATAGCCGGGATAAATATTTTTAGGATATCTTTTTAAGTAAATAGTATAACAAAATTGATTTTACAGGATGTTTAAAATGTAGAAGATTTCTAATAGAGTATTTTATAGGACTTAAAATTATATGAGCAAACCAAAATCGTCCTATCTAAAAGCATTACACACTACAAAACAAATTATTTTTACCCACAAAAATCACCCAGAAAAATTTTCGGTGATTACCCATGGATCACCCAAAGAATAGAATCGATGTTTTTCAAGAAAATACGAATGGATCACCAAAGAATACTTGTGTAATCTGTCACTGCTTTGAATTGAATTAGCCACTAACAATTAACCCACCAACTTTTGTGACAAATCACCCTTTAACGATTGATTTTCCAAGGAAACATCCATAGGTAAAAATCTTCCATTTAGTAGTGACAATAGGTTTTGTAAGACATTTTTAGACGTTTTAAAAAGTTTTTAGGACGCTTTTAATCCAAAGTGTCATAGTAACTATTTTATACGAACTATTTGAAAAAGTGTCCTATAAACACAAATCTTCTCTAAAGATGGGTTTATATGACACTTATTGAAATTGTCTTATAAAATAGCTAATATGACCATTTATTTTAAAAGCATCCAAAAAAACTTGGTGAAATGCTAAAAACATCCTACAAACATATTGTAACGCTTTTAGATATGATGTTTTATAGTAAAATTTAAGTTATATAAAGTATTATATTATGACGCTTAGAAAATTTAGGCACCCTATAAAGATAATTTTGTTGTAGTAGACATTAAGATAGAAAAGCAAGGGGTTAGTTACTTGTCATCATACACCGGAACTCCCCAGCACTCGTCATGGAATTGAACATAAAGTTTTTCTGTCAAGAGAGATTTAACTGTTATATAAATAACATCTACAAAAGGAAATGTTAAATGAAAAAAGCAAAGGGTTTGCATTTAGTGACCAACTCTCGGTCACACAATTGATCTTTTACATTCTAATAAACATACGTCGCAAATAAATTAGCAACACAGTTCACTTTTCCGACAAAAATTTGGCGACGTACATTTCACTTTGAGCGACATAATTTTCGTCAAAAGCTTTTTTATCTTGTCAATGCATGCAAATTACATTTTTAAATATATAATATATATAATACTGTAAATTACAAACTTACCACTAGCTTTAGAAATCCAGTTGCATCTTTTCACACTTTCATTAGAAGCATCTGAAACCAAATTCGGTTGCAGAACTGGAATCGGAACTGGAACCGCGACTAAAACTGGCATGCTAGTTTTAGCCGTTGGTGGAGTGTCTGGGGAAATGAGACCAAGTGCTGACGAAATGGCCTGATCCACTGTAGAAGATGAAATGGTGAAGGATTCACTCGTATTACGCAAAAGGGTTGAAGAAGGCGAGGAGAGGGAGAGTAGAGAGGTCGTTTTCTTTAGCTCAAAAGGGTAAACTTTTTTTAGACGTTTAGATAAGAGACTATGAGTTGATGAAGGCTTTTGCTTCTTCTCTACATATTTCTTCACATTTTCTTTCGACATTCTTATAATTAATATTAAAGGGAATTTGAAGAAAAGAGAAGGGTAAATGGGTGGGTAGGTTTAAAGATGGATTTGTCAATTTATAAAGGGGAGTTTGAGGGTGTTTAGTACTTTGGTGAAGTGTTGTTTTCTTTTATTTATCATTTCACATCATTATTACTGTATATTAATTTGTTGTCAATGTCAAAAACCCGTCAAGTATATTATAAACAACAAGAAGTAAAAACTGATTTTTGGAATCGCTAGATAGGTAAATCATTTTCTAGTTTCTGTTTACGTCGCAAACAAAATAGATGACGGAAAACGTAAGAGTTACCAAACAGGGTCTAATGACCTTTTATATGTTTTGATTTTAAAAATACAATGATGAAATTCTAATTAAAAAAACAATTTCCAAAACTATTAAATTCATACGTATTTTTAAAGAGACTCGACATAAAAATTAATACTTAAATCATCTTTAAAATTTTGCATTTTTTGGATAAATATTTTACATATTCTACTATTAAAATAACATATATATATATATATATATATATATATATGGGGAGCGTTCAAATAAAAACTACTCAATTTGTAAAAACCGTGAAAATTTCATTCAACCAATCATAATTTTTCATTTTGTTCATTTTTTTGTAATTATGAGAGGTTGATTAACCATTTTTATTGTGGAGGGTGTTAATCATGGATATTATCATCTTCATTATTTTAATTTTAGAGAAACACATGAAACAATTTCATTAAAATTTCATAACCATATATAAAACAAATTCATCAAAAAAATATTATATGAAAAAATTTCATAAGATTAAACAATTTCATGAAAAAATTTCGTAAGATTAAACAATGAAATCGACGTATGAGGGTGGTTTGTACGGGTTTTACAAATGATGGTGGTTTTCATTTGATCGTTCCTCTCTCTCTCTCTCTCTCTCTCTCTCTCTCTATATATATATATATATATATATATATATATATAGGGTCATGTTCAAATGTTAACAAAAGTTTTTGTGTTAATTTTGTTAACCGATATTGGTCATTCAATCTTTCAATAAACAGTTGTGATTAATCATGATAAAAACTTATTTTTTTAAATTTAGAATTTCATAAAGATAAGTGAACAAAGTTGAAAAGGGTATTTAGGTAAAAAAAATTATGTAACTCCCATATCATTAATTAATTGAGAGTTACAAAATCAAAAATTCTATGATTTTTGTTAATTTATTTTTGTTAATGTAAGAACCATATGAACATAACTATATATATATATATATATATATATATGAACCATTGTGTCAAATATAAACAAAAATTTGACATATATATGAACTTGGACTGCATAGCATTTATGAACACAATATGAACATAATAAGAATAAGTGCTATATGAAAGGAAATAAATAAATAAAAACAGGTATGAACACGATATGAACAGCTTGTGAACAATAGTTCATTTATTATAAACACATTCAGGAGCGATCTTTTGTCAATTGGAGTTTTATACATGCATTGCATCCACACCATTTAAGGTTCACCCTTGTTCATATATGTTTCGGATCTTATATGGTTGTTCACCCCTTGTTCATATCATGTTCACTCCTTGTTCATATCATATAAAATATATGAACACATAATCCCAACGCTATGAACACCGGGTGTAAACACTTATACAAATATAAAGATTTGGTATCAAGCTTAAAACTTGTGTTCATATGATAGAAGTAACATGAACACAATGGTTCATGATTCATAAAAATCGGTAATATGACAATATGAAAATAGGTCGTGCATGTACTTCCATTTGAACATGTGAATTAGGTACGTATTTTAATAATTAAAGAAAAAAGCTATCAATACAAGATGAATTATAAAAAACACAACACATCTGAACATAATTTCGATTAAAACGAATCTAACAAAAAATAAAAATCTATTACCATGACATTCGCTTTGGTTAATTTCTTCAATTCTCCGACCTCGAACTCCAATTGTCATCATAAACCATTTTAATATTCTCACTGTTGTCGATTTATTTTCTATAGCGTTTATCCATATTAGCTTGATCGATACCGAAATTTTTTACTACCTTATTTTTTATGCAAGTTAAAAACTGATAAAACAATGAACATGCAAGATCAAGATTAAAAAAAAATAAAAATATTAATATTATAAATGCATTTTTTTGGGATTTGATGATTTGTAACTCCCATTAATTGTTTGGGAGTTACATATCAAATCAATTTACTGAAATACACTTATAATTAAAATGTGAACATGACATAAACCTACAAGAAGAATGAAATTTGATTGATTGTCATGGTTTTCAAAGTTAACACAAAATTGTTGGTTAACATTTGATCTTCCCCTATATATATATACATATATATATATATATATATATATTCTTCAACACAAAATTTAATGGAAGTCATTTGAAATGATGGATGAAGATTTATAGGAGTTAATATTAATTCAAACAACCCAATAAATATTAAAATGCCTGAATAGTTATTAAAACATAAAACATATTATATTTTATTAATTAGGCTAAAAAAATATATTACTTGAATCATTTAATTACAACTAATAAATACAAATTTCAAGATACTTCAGAAAATTCCCAACATTTTAGATTCATCTTTACAAAAATCAAATGTAATTACTAATTATTTTTCTTATATAAATATATTTCTTGTTAATATTGATGTCGAAAATATATACTTCGACCAGAGGAAATCAAATTTGAACTATTTATTTGTACGTTTGCATCAACCTTCTATCAAATTGCACAAACTTAACCAAAAAAAAAACAACTCATCAACCTTATATAAGATTTTACAAACTTAATAAAAAGAATCAATTTCGTTTTCAAGCAAATAACCTTCTCAATAAAAAATTTAATTCTAATATAATCATGGACCATATATATTGAAGGAAAAGAGGTAACTGATCATGTCTGAATGCGTACTAATTCGAGATATGAAACAGGGCTTCCAAATTTTTTGGAGCTCAATTACACATATTTGAACCTTTATCTGTTTATATATGATTTAAACCTTTTGCGCAATTATACATACCCCAATTATAATGTTTTAACCATTTCATTATTTTAGTCTATTTGACGGTTCTCGATTTTGATTTTCAAAGGATGATCCTCTCTCTCTCTATATATAAGTAAATTTTCTATATTAATTTGTAATTTGACACATTTATGTTGTTTTATAAGACTTTATATATATATATATATATATATATAAGTAAATTTCATATATTAATTTGTAATTTGAGGCATTTATGTTGTTCTATAAGACTTTATATACATATATATATATATATATATGTGTGTGTGAGAGAGAGAAGTTTTACATTTTGTTTTATTTATCATTTATTCAGTAATATTTAATGTTAATACAGGTAGCTAGGGTTTTGTATGTTACTTGGGGTGAGAGAAAAGTGTAGTAGTGTGTGCATGGTAAGATATTTGTAGTGGTAAAATTAAAGGTTGTTGAAGGGTTAATCTCATTGAGGGTTAAGTCGTAGAAACTTGGAACCCACTCCAAATGTACCTTGAGGCATACATATTGCCAAAGTAAGACAAAGATATCTCATCTTTATTTGGGATTCAATCATTCTTAATTAATTGTTTTCTTTAATAATCCCATTTGAACTTGAAATTACTTCTAACACATTTTATTATATTTGACAATTATTTTAATTTAATGTTTATATGAACTTAGTTAGATTAGATGATCCTTTCTTGGACTCGATTTATATATGTCATAGCTTGAGCTTATCACTACAAAAATACAGAGTATCAGCGAGGGAAAAATCCCTTGCAAATCCGTCGCTGAAAGGGCAATCCATCGCTGATACTCCATCGGTCAAAATAGTCGTAGATAATGCTATTAGCGACGGATCAGCGATGGATCTACGACGGAACTTTCAGCGACGGTTCAGCGAGGGAAATATTTAGCGACGGATCTGCGACGGATTTTTCAGCGACGGATCTGCGAAGGATCTTTCAGCGACGGATTTACGACGGAACTTTTAGCGACGGATTTGCGAGGGAATTTTCAAGGACTTTCAACGACGGATTTTCCCTCGCTAATCCGTTGCTAATTTGATATATATTTAAAAAATAAATTTTTTGAAATTGCATAATTCCTGTATTTATTTATTAAAAAACCTGGAAATAATAATATAACAAACCAAAACTGAACAAACTTTAACTAACCAATTCATACGATTTAAAATATGGATGCATACAATTTAAAATATTCAATTCATACAATTTAATCTTCGAATACATACAATCTAACTATCGGGAGATGGAGGAGGTGGGAAAACGTATCCTGACTGCCACATAAACGCAGCAAAATGCTCCGATAATGCGGCATGTTGGGCTAATGCAGCAGCTTGTCTAGCCTGTTCAGCTGCCGAGGCAGCTTGTCTGGCCTCCAAATCTGCCATATTCTTCAGTTCGGTCTCCAGTTTCTCTTCTACCCTTGCCAACTTCTCTCTCAACTCCGTTACCTGTAAATATTCAATATTCGACAAAATCAGTAATTTGTTCGCAATTTTAGTAACGAGAAAGTTTATAACAATATAACCAACGTACCTCCGCTCTTGACTCGTATGATGACCCGCTACTGCTAATCTACCCGTCATAGCATTAGAGGGATCCTGGGTGGTCCTGAAACCAAATATTCGGCCTTTCCTCCGTCCTCCGACACTTTGCTCCCAAAGAGATGCCTCATCAGGGAAAGGGCTGTCGGTACTAGATTGTGACTCACCCCTAAGCGATTGAAATCGCTCCTATGGTTCACCAAAACAAAACGGGTGAGGTTATGTATGTAGATATTTCAGCAGCATAACGACTATAAATCAAACATAACCAATGCATGTTTTTAACAACTAAGCATTCTAATAATACCAATGTTCGAAGTCACATTCTCAACCTACTTACTTAGCTTAACGTCTGCCAACAATGGCAGCCCAAACTAATAGCATCACTATGTTTATTGAAATATATTATCTTAAACCTACCAAACGTATCTATTAACCAAAGTAATGGTTTTAGCAAACTTACATGATACCTAGTAGCTTTCGGGTAACTGAACTGAGGAGGATCGGTAGGCGGGTCGGACGAACCTTGATCGAACTTTTGATTCGTGCAGTGAGTGCGCTCAAACACCTCAGTAGCAGTCGGCTCACGAACCATTACTTGTGTCTACATTAGACAATTAGGTTAAGTTGTTACTAACATAAAGAATGAATTATATTTTCAAAAAAGATTATATACTCACCATCATGTCTCGATGTTGTGCAGTACTAATCGATCCCTCAGTGTGTCTGAACGACACCCCCTCAAACTGGGTGTTCCGATTGGCCCTATTGATCTTGGATATCCTTTTCCAAGCCTCGGTATCCCATACTTGTTAAAAACATAGCACATATATAAGGTGAAAGGCGGTACACATGACAGTTCGAAAAGCTCACAATAGAGATACATACCGTGTCAATCATCTACAGCCAAAACCTGTCTGGTATCCATACGGGATGGTATAATCTAATCCATGAGAAGTTCTCACCATCCCATTGCTGATCACCAGGATAGGCCTGTGCCACGGCCCAGTCACGTGCAGAGCTCATCCAATCAGAGTACCTGTTATGGATGGCTTTGGTCCATAAATCATGAATCGTGTCATCCAGCTCAGGTTCCCACTGGAACTTGGCCTATATACACAATGTTGGTAGAAATGTAAAAACAATAACCTTATATGTATAATTACATTAAAATGGTACACCAACCCTAAAGCGCTTGAACATCAAATCACGTGCTTCCTGAGGTACTTCCTTCCATCTATGCCACAGACCAGCAAAGGAAGACCTGAAGATAGTCGCCATCTCTCGGATAACATGGGCATCTTTAGACCTATACAATTAAGAAAATATTTACAACACAAACACATTCATATTATTTTATTATGTAATACAAAGTCTTATACCACATCTATTTACCCCATGGCCTAACAAAGACAGATGTCTTCGGTGGCTCGGATGACTCGGTGTCTGCATCTCTATGTTGGGGCCTCTCCCCGACCCCGAACCAGTTGAAGCTGGGGGGGGCTCCATGGCCACCTCTTGCTCATCTAAACCGCAAAAAGCGGTGTCCAAAAACTCTACAATGTCATCGGCGCGGGTAGAGTTGCTACCCCTACCAGACATGGGGCTGCCGCGACTCCCATGACGGCCTCTACCACACTCTCGGAGTGACATCTCCTGAAAAAACAAACATTAGATTATATCATGAAAAAAGATTATGACAAATCGCGATTATATATGTACAACTGTGAAATAAGAATACAGAAGACAAGCTACTCATCAGAAGAATGATCAGATAACATCGGTTCATCTTCATCATTTGAATCATCATCTATGTCTTCAAATTCTGGTTCATCTTCGCTATCTTCGTTCGATTCGTCGCCACCTTCATCTTCATTTATATTAGGGAGTATGTTTACCTCCCCTGTGGAAAGACGAACATCATCGAGCTCGTTTTCCAATGAGAACGTTATATGAGTTACCCTTTCGTTGACTTGAAAGAATTATTCTTCATCCACATGATCATTGTTTTCAACATCGTTAATCATGTCGGACACTTCATATATGCCACGAGCCTTTGTCTTGACAACTGCCCACCAATCTTTCAAATCCTTTGTCATCGAAGAATATGAAATATAATAGACTTGTTCTGCCTGTGATGCTAGAACGAACGGGTCGTCGGATCCAAGTCTAGACTTATATTTGATATCTACCAAATTGTGTTTAGGGTCAACTCTAACCCCCGAGGCAGTATCAAACCAAGTGCATTTGAACATGAAAACCACCTGTTGCATTGAGCCATAATACTCCACCTCTATAACTTCATCTAACATTACATAGAAGTCAGACTCACACTCGTCATAGCAGGCCCCCCTTACACATATACCACTATTATGGGTAACTCGACCGGATCCATGGGTCATCGTATGGAACTTGTAACCATTCACAAAGTATCCCTGATGCATAGTGGCATAACGACTTGGTCTTCGTGCTAGGGATTTTAATTATTCATTTGAGTCGTTTAACTCGAACATGACCTATAAAAGAAGGCCACACATAAGAAACACATAACGTACGTCATTACATCCTGTATATTAATACCACTGACCAGTATATATATATACTCACGTGGTGCGAGAACCAGTCAGCAAACCTCTCCTCCCGAATTCTATCAAGTTCAACATCATCAATATTCGGTTCAGTTTGTTGAATCTTTTCATCAAAGGTGGATTGGAAAGGTTGAACTTCTACACAGTTGAACAAGACATATCTATGGATAGTCTCCAGGTCATGTTCATTTAAGATTATTTGTTTTCCACCATTTGCGGATAGTGGACGAGATGGAACCTTGAATATGCTTAATCGATCATCGGTCTTCGAACAACTAGGGATATTCGGGGTAAAGTTCATTGACTTACGATTATGTCTTGTTTCTATTGTTGGATCAAAATRGAGGGAGCAATAGGTAGAAAGTTCATTTACAAGGTACGACTCAATGATAGAGCCATCAACCCTTGCTTTGTTTTGAACCGTTCTCTTTAACGACCCAAACTTCCTAAAGAGATGAAATACRTGTTAGGGACAAGAAGAGTGTTTTATATGAATATATYGTAYTAGATTTCAATARAATTAGGAACTCACCTCTCATASARATACATCCACCTATATTGGACCGGACCACCATTTATAGCTTCACRTGTCAAATGTATCACGAGGTATTCCATTGAATCAAAGAATCCGGGCGGAATGACCTTTTCCAACTTGCAAATTGTTTGAACAATACTTGTTTGCAATGGAACCAAGTCATCTATGTGTAACACCCTTGAACATATCACACGGAAGAATGTGCACAACTCCGTTATTGCATCCCATATCGAAGTTGGTATCATCCCTCGTAAAGCAATAGGAAGCAATCGTTGCATAAACACATGACAATCATGACTCTTGAAGCTATAAAAGCTAGAATCTTCTAGTTTCACACAACTCCCTATGTTCGAAGCATACCCGTCTAGAAACTTCAACTTCTTCAACCATGCACACACTTGTTTTACTTGTTGTTTGCTTAAACTGTACGATGACTTTGGTTTCACTACTTTGTTGTCTGACATGGCAAGGTGCAAATTCCGTCGATCACAATGAACCTCTACATCTCTTCTCGCCTTTACATTGTCTTTAGTTTTTGACGTATCCATGACGGTGTTAAAGAGATTCTCAAAAACGTTCTTCTCAATATGCATGACATCGAGGTTGTGTCGAATCAACAACGTCTTCCAATATGGCAACTCCCAAAAGATGCTTCTCTTTACCCAATTATGATTGGTTCTGAACCCGCTAATTTTTCTATTTTTTGAACTATACGGGAAACCCTCATAAATAGTTGGAAGGTGACGAACGAACTCCCAAATCTCTTCACCGGTTACCTCAGGTGGTGGACCAGTTAACACCCTATTACCTGCCATAAATCCTTTTCGATCACGACGGAAAGGGTGTGTTCTAGGTAACCATCTCCGATGACAATCAAACCAACATGATTTCCCTCCATTTTTTAACTGGAAGGAATCCACCTCCCCCATGCAATATGGGCAGGCTAACTTGCCATGCCTACTCCAACCCGACAACATTGCATAAACCGGGAAGTCGCTGACGTTCCATAGTAGTATAGCCCTCATCTCGAAATTATTCTTACGATACGCATCATACGTAAGAACACCCTCCGTATACAATATTTTTAGATCATCTATTAGCGGCCTGAGAAACACATCCAAATTCTGACCGGTGCTCTTTCTACCAGGGATGACCAATGCGAGCTCAACATACGAATCTTTCAAAGTCATCCAAGGAGGTAGATTGTAAATGGTAATAAAGACGGGCCATAGTGAATATGGATTCGAAGTTGAATTATTCAGGTTGAAACCGTTGGTGCATAACCCAAGACGAACATTCCAAATCTCAGAAGCAAAGTCAGGATCCCTCATGTCGAAATGCTTCCAAGCCACACCATCACTTGGGAGTACCATTTCACCCGGTTTCGCTTGATGATCGTAATGCCAAGTCATCTCTTTTGCGGTCTTTGGAGACATATACAATCGTTGGAGTCTTGGAACAATCGGTAAGTACGCCAACACCAAGTTAGGAACCTTCTTTCGTCCACTTGTCTTGTAACGACTTTCATTGCATACTCGACAGTGGGTCAACCAAGAATCATGCTTGTAAAATAACATGCAATGGTTTTTGCAAGCATTGATCTTTTGTTTTGGTAGAGCAAGATTTTTCAAACTCTTCTTCGTCTCATAGAAGTTACAGGGTAATTTATCACCCTCAGGTAGCATACGCTTAAAAACAGGAAACACTCTATTATATGTCGTCTCTGGTACATTACATTCTGTCTTCCAATGCAACAAACTCGTCGCAACCCCTAATTTTGAAAAAGTTTTACATCCATCCCATAAAGGCTCGTCAACAGTTTGTAACATGTTATAAAATCCTTGGGCAGAAGGATTAGGTGTTTTTTCTTCCCATATCATGGCATCATGTACCATGTGATCGTTCACCATTTGAAAATAACCTTCATTATGATCCACTATAGGATTAGAAGATTGACCGACGTCTTGATGAGATACATGTAAAAAAAAGGTTTCACCATGTCCCCACTAAATGGTATAATCAGGCATGAAACCATATTTCATCAAGTGCAGTTTCACGTCTTCTTTTTCTTTGTAGGTTTCGTTTCAACACTTGGAGCAAGGACATCTGATGTGGAACACTATCCCATCACGTGTAGTTGCCCTTTCAACAACTTCTTCATTGGCATAGGCAATGTCCAAAAACCTTCCAAGTGTCTGACATAGGACCGGCTAAGTGCCCCTCGATCATCATTCCTTCTATGCATCCATCCTTTATTTGTCGACATATTGAATAACTACAACAAAGAAAGAAGTAGTTAGTCGACAGAATCAACGTATAGGTTTAGAGGAGTTTCGGATTACTTTAAAGGTTTGACTACTTGAAAGTCAAACCGTAGGTGTGAATGAAATTGGCGGTCTTTGAAAGAGTTGAGAAGCGTACATGTAAAGAGTTGACTACTAGAAAGTCAAACCATAGGTTTAGAAGAGTTTCAGATGACTTTAAAACTCTAAGTGTAACGGTTTGACTACTTGAAAGTCAAATCGTAAGTGTGAATGAAATTGGCGGTCTTTGAAAGAGTTGAGAAGCCTACATGTAAAGAATTGACTACTAGAAAGTCAAACTGTAGGTTTAGAGGAGTCTCATATGACTTTAAAACTCTAAGTGTAACGGTTTGACTACTTGAAAGTCAAACCGTAGGTGTGAATGAAATTCGCGGTCTTTGAAAGAGTTGGGAAGCCTACATGTAAAGCGTTGACTACTAGAAAGTCAAACCGTAGGTTTAGAGGAGTTTTGGATTACTTTAAAGGTTTGACTACTTGAAAGTCAAATCGTAGGTGTGAATGAAATTGGCGGTATTTGAAAGAGTTGAGAAGCCTACATGTAAAGTGTTGACTACTAGAAAGTCAAACCGTAGGTTTAGAGAAGCATGTATGTATGTATGTACGTATGTATGTATGTATGTACGTATGTACGTATGTATGTACGTATGTACGTATGTACATACATACATATGTATGTATGTACGTACGTATGTACGTACGTATGTATGTATGTATGTTGTATAGGATGTTCACTTTGCAAAACACGTTATTTGTACAAACTATACAAACCTCATTCAGCCAATCATAATTTTTCATTTTGTTCAATTTTTTGTAATTATGAAAGGTTGATTCATTTTTATTGTGGAGGGTGTTATTCATGGTATTATCATCTTCATTATTTTAGTTTTAGATAAATACATGAAACAACTTTATTAAAATTTTATAAGTACTATATGAAACAACTTTACAAAAAAAATATTATATGAAACAATTTCATAAAATTAAACAATGAAAATGACGGATAAGGGTGATTTGCACGGTTCGCACAAATATAGGTGGTTTGCATTTGGTTGCTCCTATATATGGCACAATGAGATTTGAGAATTCCTCAATTCTTGGATTTAGTTGAGTTGTTTATCCCTGCATTGATAGTAAGAAAAAAGTTTCACAAATGTTATGAGTATATAAATAGGAAACGATGAATTGAAATTTGAAAATTTTGGGTTGGTTAAATATAAAATTTAGCCACCATCTTTTTCCAAAATAAGGTTTGAGAATTTCTAAAATCTTGGATTGTGGTGCTAAGTTGATTATCCTATATTGACAGAGAGAAAAACGTTTTACAAATTTATGAGTATACTAGTTGTGTACCCGTGCAATGCGGCGGGAACCATAAATTTTAACGATTTTGAAGTTCCACTGGTTTTATAAGATACGATTTAACGATGATATAAGTTACACTTGGTCTTTACATATTAATACAATTTTAATAAATAAGAGTTATGGTTCCAATTACATACTATCGATGAAAAAATTGTATGACAGTTTAAAATCCAATATATTTAAAATCCAACATATTTAAACGGCTCCACAAATGTGTTTGATTTACACCAAGAGAAAAGAACCAAGAAACTTAAGTTTTAAGATAAACACTCAAAACTAATAAAGAAAACTACAAATTTGACAGATCATAAGCTATGAAAAGACCAAAAAGATAGGTTTTAGAATGAAATTTCAACTGCTTACCCTATTTCTTGTCCAGAAACTCAGATTAAAGTTGAATTAATACATGTACATATATTTCAAAAAACTCAAGAACATATTAATTCAAAACATATTATACAGTGCAATTTGGACAGCCTGACCCCAAAATATATAGTATACACATAAATAAATAACTATAAAAGTATAAATCATAAATATTAAAAATATTTTTTCACAGTATATATAATATATAATTATATAATTAAGTCAAAAACTATTCAATATATATTGGACTTATTTCGAAGGTATTAACGAGACGATTATAATGGTGTAACTTGTTAAAATAAAAATGTATTTTTTAAACATGTTTTAGTTGATATACGATTATGTATGTTAATTTGATCAAGATTTAAAATGAAATATTTAAAAGTAAAAGACGTAAAGTAAATTAATTAACTAATTATAGCGGTATAAAGTATAAATTTAAAATTATAATTTTAAAAAAATGAGTTGTGAGAGGATGAGTGTATGTTAGAGAAGAGTGGGTGAAAAAGTAAAAAATGACCTAAAAATAGTATAAAGGGTATCTTGATCATTTAATATTTTAAGACTTTGACCTAAAGGTAGCATAGCTGTTGGATAAATAAAAAAATGCTAAAATAACTATTTTATTCACTTTAGCATAGCTGATATAGATACTTTAAGGTAGTGTTTAGCAATTTTTTTATTATATCCTATATAGATTAATTTGTCCATTTTGATAAACGTGTGTTGTTTATTTTTTTTTTATCTGAATAACATAAATGACCGATTTATCCTCTAATATTAACTATTTGAACATCAAGACAAAAAATCTAAAGGTTGATGATGGGGTTTCTCATTTAAGAAGAAGACTAGGCTTTAAATACGAGATGGAGATGTCATTTTTGTGGCTGAATGGAGATAACACATCATTTTTTTTGTGCGCGATTAAGCCATGTTTTTATGAATAAGTCGTAAGTAAATAATCCAAATGAGTTGTATGAATAAATTAGATAAACTAATAAACTGCAAGTAAACAGTAATTAAGAAACATAAACGAAGCAAAAGAAAAAAAGTTGGGTTGTGTTTTGAAATGAAATTGATTTGGTATTTAGATAGGAATAAAAATGATGATGCAATGGGCATGAGGGTGAAAAAATACCATCATCATGTCATATGTTTTTGTATATTTTAGTTTTTATTATAAATTACATATAATATATTTAAAAAAAAAAAAAGAATTGGGTTGGAGTTAATGCAGTCCCCACCAGTCACGCTCATTACTCATGACTCATTATTGCTCTTCACTTTTTCCCAACCTATTTCTTTTTTCTTTTTTTTAACTCGGGGAACCGAGTAAAGGGGGAAAAGGAAAAGAAAAAAATTCCAAATTTTGTTTATTACTTCATGCTTTCTCTTTGAAAAGAGAAGCTAATCGGTTTTATCGCCGGCGGTTTTGGCCTAATCCGGTGACCACTAATTTACTTCTTCTCTCCACATTCCTCGGTTTTATCGCCGGCGGTTGCCATATCCTCGCCGCCGACGAGTAAAAACCATCATCGGATTTTCTCGATGGCAAAACACCGGGTGAAGCTAGTTGACTTGTCTCCGTCGTCTGCGACGGTGTCTTTTCCTCTCCAAAAATCAGCTCAAAAATTCCGCACTCCGACGCGAACTCCGGTGTAGAAACGGATGACGATTTTTTGTATTCGCTGGAAAATATCTGTTTCGGTGAGGCGTTGGCGTTCGGTGTTGGCGGTGCAGTTGGTGGCGGTGGAAGTAGTAGCGACGGCGACGGGGATGGCGGCGTCCTAATGTGTGCCGACAGCCATTTGGATCTCATATACTCGAATTTCATCCATGGAAGAATGTGCATTCCTTTTTTCTTCAAGCTCAGTTTCGCCGCCTCAGATACAATTGACAGAATCTGTTGCAGACGATCGGCTTCGCCGACAAAGATGTACGGCAGTGATTGAAGGATTGCTTTGTAATTTCCGGTCGGCCGAGCTATCTCGAACTCCGATCTAAAATCTATATCAATCAACACCCTATCTCCGCCTTCAACGATGACATCTAGGTATTCGTATTCACCTGTGAAGGAAACCTCCATAAGTACAATTACAAACTAAAACCAAACGAATAAACATGAGCTTTCAGGGTTGAAACCCATTGAAAATTGATACATAAGCCATTAGGGTCAAAACCCACTCTGAACAAATTAAACCACAAGCAAGAGATCGATACCTTGAAAACAGAAACCATTACAGTTACCTTGAGTAGAGAATGAACCACCGGGATCGATTGAAGGGGTCCCTAAACAGAAAGCCATAAACAGCAAGAGATCGATACCTTGAAAACAGAAACCATTAGGTTGAAGCCCAACAGAAATTTCACCTTCAAGCCATAAACAATGGAAGGAAAATTAGTTGAAAGACTTAACTTGAGAAAAAAAATATCTTACCTGGAGAAAGCCAAACAGCTCACTAACTCAGTTTCCATTCAAACAGACCGAGAAGAACATAACTATGGTTGGAATCGAACAGAGCTGTGGCTTTTCATTCCAAGGAGCAACAGATCGAGGAGACGACCGAGCAACAGATCGAGCAAGGTGGTTGGCTCTGCCGAGATAGAGACGACCGAAGTTGGAGCTATGGGATTTCGACGATGAAGGCGACCAAGAAAGAATGGTTTGAAATGGTTAAGAAAAAGATGAAGGAGAGGGGATGATATAATGAAAATTTTGAAATTTGAAATTTTGAAATTTGAATCAAAATGGTTTGAAATGGTTGAGAAAATAGTTGTACATTGTGCTTTATGACTTGTCTTTAAGAGTTTTGAAATTTATGCATAAAATGGCAGTACTTTATGCTTAAAGGGTTGTAATTAAGATAATGGCTTAAATGGTTATATATGTAGTATAGATAAGAAGTTTGAGTTGGTTAAATATAAGTTTTAGCCACCATCTTTTTTCAATAAGAAAAATTCAAATACTCGATTGTGGTATTGAGTTGATTATCCCATGTTGATATACAAAAAATTTTTCACAAATGTTACAAGTATATAAGAGAAGATGATGATTTGAAATTTGAAATGTTTAGATTGGTTAAATTTAACTTTTAGCCACGATTATTTTTCAAAATGAGGTTTAAGAATTTCTCAAATCTTGGATTGTTGTGTTAAGTTGATTATTTCACATTGACAGATATAAGATAATTTCACAAATATTATGAATATATAAGATGAAAATGATGTAATTCATGTTTGCCTTCAATTTTTATAGTAATGATTATTTTTTTTATAAAGTTATCTCTTTAGTGTCAATATGAACAAAATAAAAAAAATTATGATGGGCAATAAATCAATCAATATATTTATAATCTATAACTCTATAAAAAAGAATATGATATATACATGAGCTGACAGTGTAATATTTCAGTATTTTAAAATTTCGAATCGTGGTTTGTTTTGGTCATCCCACGTCGATGGAAAGATGGTATGTTGGAGAATAGATTTGAGTACATAAAAAAGGATAAATATGTTATTCAAATGTGAAAAAAAATGCATTGCTAAATATGTTTTTTGGTACACTTTTATTTAAAGTAAATTATATATAAATATGATGAGGGGTGTCTTTGATAAGTAAAAAAGTTAACTGACCAAATATGTTTTTAAGCCGACTCTTTTTCTACCAAAAAAAGATTTATCAATATAAAAATTAAGTAGAAAATAAATTTATGAAGTAGCATCGTGAAAAATGTTGTTCGCGTCCTAAATAACATAAAAACAAAACTACTGATGTTGCATCTTAAACTCTTCATAACAAAAGCCTATTAATGTTATAAATATATACAAATTAACCATTAAAGAAATACGTTTCATTTTAACTTGACCTACTACTAAAATTTTTGATATTTGATTTGAGTATTTTAAAATCTTGAATTGTAGTTTGGTTTTGATCAAATGTAACTTATATCATCGTTAAATTTTTTTTAATAAAACTAATGAAACTTTAAAATCGTTAAAATTCATGGTTCTCGTCATATTACACAGATACACAACTAGTAATATTATAATTTTTAAAATAGATAAGTCAAGGATTATAACTTTTGATTCTCCAATTTATAGAATCTATTGGAGTACGAGATGGGAGTTCACAAGGAGTGAGGGTTGGGCGAATGTAGGAAGTAGGTGAACCATAGACTAGAAGCAAAAGAGTTATGAACTTTTATAGGAATAACAACATTAACCCCCCCTAAACCTTCATAGAATGACAATATGACCCCCTACAACTTTAAATAAGCACAATATGACCCTTGTGATCAGTGCTTAACAACAACATTCATTTTTGGCTGAAAGTTGGACAACTCCTTAACAAGCCTACCCAACTCCCTTGATGATCTCCCACCTTCCTTAACTGCTTCAATTGCTTTGCCTTTCAGTTCTTTTGCTTTTAACATTTCAGTGTTATCTACACTCATTGACTCAGCAATTGTGTGAGCCAACTCGGCCGAGTCTGGTACGCTGTTTCGACCCTCACAAACTCGGACTGCCACACCGTGCTCTTCTACCAACAGCCTAGCATTGACATATTGGTCAGCCTCCATGGGCCAGGCTAGTATCATCACTCCGGCTACAATAGCTTCCAAAACCGAGTTCCACCCACAGTGACTAAGAAACCCACCGACTGCTTGGTGACTCAGTATGGACACTTGTGGCGCCCAACCCTTTATCACCATTCCTCTACCTGACCCCATTCCAGCTGGATCAACAGATTCCGGTTTCATCACCCAAACAAAATAAACCCCACTCTGCTCAAGCCCAATTGCCAAAGCCTCGATTTGGTCGTTGGTTAAAAACACCTGGCTTCCAAAGCATACGTACAGAACCGAACCCTCGGGTTTCCCATCGAGCCATTTGACCACATCAGAACCAGACTCAGATCCCGACTGCCCACGAGTCATGAAGTCCGACCCACCAAGTAAACTAACCGGCCCGACTCCGAAAACCCTCCCATGACCTATTTTCTCTGTCAGGTACTCCATGTATCGAGACTCCAATGCATCAAAGGTGTTGACAACCCAACCCCAACTCGATGCGTTCATCATGTGACCATCGAGCACCAAATCCCATTCTGGGTCTGATTCTTTATAAAACCTAGCCAGGGATGGAAGCTGGTCTCGTGGAAAACTAGGCGAATTAGGCAAGTCCTGAAAGATCGTGACCTCTTGAGAACAAACCAACGTCATATGATGGCAGACATGGTCAAGAACAGCGGTCAAGAAAGCACCGGAGGAGAAAAACGTGATCTTGGGGATGCCCAATTTGCCGGCGAGGTAGTGGGTCCAGCCGAGAAAGAAATCGGCGATGATGGCGACGGGGGGATTAGGGTGGGAGTGGAACCAATGGATAATTGGGTCTTGGAGGTTGGCGAGTGAGTTAATAATGGGTAGATTTCCATGGTTCCCGATGTCTTTGACATTTTCGACGGCAGATGGAAGGGAAGGGTGGGGTGGAAAAGGGAAGACGAGGGATTGGATGTTGGAAGAAGAAGAGAGAAGTGGGGTGAGGATGGAGAGGTTTTTGGGTGTGACCAAGATGGTTATGGTTAGACCATGGTTGGCTAGGTGGCGAGTCAAGTCTAGAAGTGGGAGCATGTGACCTTGGGCTGGGAAAGGGAATACCAAGATATGTGCACCATTTTTGAAGCTGCTCATAGTTGTAAAACTGTGTATGCTTGAGTGAGGAAGAGAGAGAAGAGAGGGATAGAGGTACAAAGAAAGTTGATGGTTGTGAATCGAGAGGTCTTCATCATTTTGTTGTGGGGCCAAATATTAAAGACAATAGAAAGCAAGTAGTAACAGGAGGAGATTTTGGGTAAATATTTTGTTATAACAGTTTTTTGAAAATAGAAAAAAAAAGATGCAAAGGTATTTTTTTCTAATAAATACGAATAAAAATCATTTTAAAATGAGACCATCAATAAGAAATCTTGTAAATAAATATTTAAGAAGTGAAATAATATTTTAATATTATTGGTTGTGTATCCGTGCAATGTAGCGGGAGCCGTGAATTTTAATGATTTTGAAGTTTCACTGGTTTTTCATTAGAGAAGATTTAACGATGATATAAGTTACACTTAATCTTTACATATTAATACAATTTGAATAAAAAGAGTTATAATTCCAATTACAGTCTATCGATGAAAAAAATTGTATGACAGTTTAAAATCAAACATATTTAAACGACTCAATAAATATGTTCGATTTACACCAGTAAAGAAACAAGAAATTGAGACTGAGACTGAAAGTTATAGAACAATTGAATGAGAGAACTTTTAATAACTAATGATGAATTTAATTTTGAATCTCATCTTGGAGGATGGGAGGGAAGAAAACATAGAAGTATGAGAGGATAAATGCATGAGTGAAATGAGGGTTGATATTGATACCCCTGGCATACCTTTCTACCCCTGCACCTTGTCCCCCACCTCACATTTTTTTTCATACTCACATGCACACTCACACACTCACACGATTTTAATATAAAAAATTTAAATTTACACTTTATACCCTTATAATTAGTTAATTAATTTACTTTATACCCTTTCCTTTTAAAATTTTCATTTTATACCCTGATCAAATTAACATACATAATCGTATATCAATTAAAATATGTTAAAAAAATACGTTTTA